TCTGGCTCCAGTTCCCCTCCTTTCTTTCCAGCACCAAATCCACTACCTCTCAGGCCATGCTTAGTTTGGCTAACCAAACTGATTTTTTTCAAAAGTGGTTTGATGGGAAAATTACAAAGGAGAGAAAAAACTACCAGAAAACAGCAAGTTCCATAATCCTTTCCTTCCATCAACACACTGGACCAACTGTAAAGCAGCTCTCAAATATTAGGGGTCTCAAGGATAGGGAGTGAGGTGCTAAACATTTCCAGAGCTTTACATTAGTCCGCTTGACCCCTAACCAGAAACTGATCTACATTTTTTCTCGCTAATCCCAACCTGTCTTTCTCTCACCTCTGATACCCCCACCAAAATCCACATCCCCAGAGGAACACCAATGAGCACTTCTTACTGAAACAGCAAAAGTAGACACACAGCGAGAACGAATTCAGGAGTTGGTGACAGCAAGTACCTAAATGGTCAGTGAACACGATCAGAATTTGTTTTCTCATGACTCCCCACCATCTGTCACCCACAAATCTCCACTTCTAGGCAGGATGCCAAAGTGAAGATGTGATGGAGAAATTGAAGCAGAAACAAGGAGCATGTAAGAAACTGCATGTGACAGGGATCTGTTAAAATCCTTCAGCCTGGTCTCTAGGCCTCTGTCCAGTTTTGCTTGCATAGGTTAAGGCGCACAAGGCTCAATTCTACACCAACTCTCAAAAGTCAGCCTACAATCTACGTCAAACACTAACTTAAGGACTTCAGAGAAAGGACAACCTCTATTGAAGAGAGTCCTTCTCAGACCAAATGAGTCTTGGCATCACTCTAAGCCCATGCATCCTCCTCCCAGGGAGCATGTCAGTCAGAAACCTGTCACTGGAAGCACCTTACCCGCTCTGGGGCTGGGCTGGGGCAAGTCTTCTTTCCAAGTAGGCACTGTAATTTCTTCCAGTCCCTGGGGCACCTGAATCTTCAGCTGAAATTGGGGCAGATGCTGCTACAGAAGCTGTGGAAAGGCTGATCTAAGCCTAGAAGAGGGTCATTTGACTGGCTTTAATTCCCTCCTTAGCACATCTGCCCGGAATCCTCCAGGTCTCTCTTCCTCACTATCCCACTCTACTAGAAAGATCCCTTTCCCCACTGGCCGGACAGATATAGTCGGGCCTCTGTCCCACGCTCTAGGCTTCTTTATTCGCGGATAAGAAATTCTCCTCCAACTTGTGACTCTGCTTCTCCAGGGCCTGCACACCACCTACTTGTGGCTGCCCCGCCCCAAATCCCTCTCCCGCTAAGGCTGCCACTAGACCCTAGGGCCCCAGTCCTCCGCCCCAGCTCCTTTTTTTCCTCTCCGTCTCGGACCTTCCTCCGTTCCATATCCTCTTTTCAACCTGGGAGCCAGTCCCCCCTTCGCCCCTACTACAGGCTAGGGTCCTCGCAATCCTCCCCAACTCTGGCTTCCCCGCCCGACTACTCCAACCCCACAACAAACTTTCCGCCGCCGCCAGCTGCGTTCAGGCCGCCATCTTGCCGCGGGGCAGGCCGGGTAGTGGCCAAGGCTGCGGGAATCCCCACGCACTTGGCGTCGCGCGTCATCGGGGGCGGTGCCATGGGGGCGGGGCCTCGGGTTGGGGAACTGGGCTACGAAATGATGGCGAAAAGTGGGGCTCTCCTGAAAGCGGGGATTGGAGGCCTGGCCACCGGAGAAGGAAGGATGTGTCAGGAACAGAGCAATTGCAGGAAGTGGGGAAAGACTCAAGTACTGAAAGAAAAAAAAAAAAGAATAGGGGAACCCACCTCAAAGATATGGTGGGAGAGAGAATCGTGCTACTGGGTTTGGCATCCGGAAATCCGCAGGATCCAGCCAATTCCACCTTCAACAGCCTCATTTTTTTTTTTTTTTTTTAACCTCTCCCGGAGACTTTAAGTTTCCAAATTGTCCTTTGTTTTCAGGACATCAGGCCTTAAGATGTCTTAACTTCTTTCCTCCTCCCTTGCATCATCAATTCTTCCTACTCATTCAAACCATCAACTCAAATGTTACCACCTCCAGAAAGTCTTTCCTTCAGTGCTTTTTTTTTTTTTTTTTTTCAGACGGAGTCTCGCTCTGTCGCCAGGCTGGAGTGCGGTGGCACGATCTCGGCCAACAGCAACCTCCAACTCCCGAGTTCAAGCAATTTTCCTGCCTCAGCCTCCCGAGTAGCTGGGACTAGAGGCGTGCACCACCACGCCCAGCTAATTTTTTGTATTTTTAGTAGAGACGGGGTTTCACCATGTTGGCCAGGCTGGTCTCGAACGCCTGACCTCGTGTTCCTCCCGCCTCAGCCTCCCAGAGTGGTGGGATTACAGGTGTGAGCCACCGTGCCCAGCCCAGTGCTCCTTTTGCTGAGCATCACTAGAAACTTGTACATAGCTTTATTGTAGCTGTCTCATGCAGTGTAATTATTTATTTACATGTTATATCATTTTTGCCCTGCTGCTTCTTCAGTGCAAAAACTATATCTAATTGCATCTTCATACCCCCTAGCAGGTGCTCGGCACACAATAAAATGCCTCATGAATAAATGGCATGTTTTCCTCCGATGCACTAAGCATATTTCTGCCTCAGGGTCTCTAAGTTTGCTGTTCCCCATACCCGGAATGTTCTTCCTCCAGATATTGACGCTCATTTGTGTCTTTGCTCAAGTGTCATCACTTTGGAGAAGACTTGCTTGGCCACTCAATCTAAATCAGCATCCCTATTCTTCTTTACCCTGCTTTAATGTTTTCATTCATAGCACTTATCATTATCAGACATTATATTAGATATTTATTTGTTTATTGACCATCTCCCCACTACGAAGCAAACTCCAGAGGTCTGGAATGTTTTCTCACTCATCACAGCATCCCCAGTGTCTAAAACAACACCTGGCATAGTAGGTATTCAATAAATTTTTTTAATTCTGCTTTTTAAATTAATTAATAATTTTTTTTTGAGACAGGGTCTCACTCTGTTGCCCAGGCTGGAATGCAGTGGTGTGATCTCAGCTCATTGCAACCTCCACCTCCCGGGTTCAAGTGATTCACCTGCCTCAGCTTCCTGTGTAGCTGGAATTACAGGCACGTGCCACTGTGCCCAGCAAATTTTTTGTATTTTTAATAGAGACGTGGGTTTTACCATGTTGGCTAGGCTGGTCTTGAACTCCTGACCTCAAGCAATCTGCCCACCTCAGCCTCCCAAAGTACTGGCATTACAGGCGTGAGCCACTGCACCCTGCCAATAGAATGAATGTATAGTATGGAGGTGAGTGATTGACAGATTTTGGAATATAGTGGTGGAGAAGAAGTGTTGAAAATACTGTAAAATAAGAAAATGCATAAATGGAAGTTACATAACCTCAAGGCTCCACTTAGCCCTATCAGGAACAGTAGCAAAGACAGGCCCCAGACTCAGCAAAGAAGAAAGTGAGATGAGAACCAGGTGGAATTCTGGAGCTGGGTCCTCAGGGAGCACAGCCATCCTAGGAAAGCCCCGGGGCACCGAGCAGGCCAGGTAGAGGAAATGAGGCAGGCTGGAGGCCAGGAGTCTCCTCTGACCTAAAGACAACATCCACCCCAGCCCAGGCCTCTCTTGGCCAGATGGTTCCGGAGAAGCATCTGTCCCTCCATAAATTATCCAGGGCTCCCTCCAGCCTAACCTCTCTGGTGACAGCCGGAACAATTGTCCAGGAATTCCATCTGCTCCCCTAGCCCTCTCTCCTCCACAACTCATCAACATTTCAGAGCAGCAAGGTATCCCATTTCCCTGACCTAGGGATGGAGCTGGGTCTGCCCCTTGGTGAAGCTGTTATCAAGTACCCACCCCCATCAAGGCACACACACAAAAACCTCAGCAGAGCTTCCCAGATCTCCAGAGGAAGAGGTCAGCCATCTTTATTTTTCATCCCATCCATGCCTTTCTATCCCATACATCTTTTTAAAAATAAACTTATTAAAATTACACTAAATAAACTAATCATATAGCTTTTGGTACAGCTTAAAATGAAGGCTTCCAATCGCTATACATCTCCACATGGTTCCTCTTAAATTGCCCACACAGTACTTTCAAAATGTGACATTTGTTGTGATATGAGACTACACATTTGGATTTTTTGAAATATGATTTTTGCTATTTACCAAAAGGTATCTGTCTGAAGGAGGAAATGTAGGAAGCTGGTTTGGTTTTCTAAATAGGTATAATTCCCAGATATCACAACCTTTCCAGAAATTGTTCTGGGGTTCACAAAGGCTGTTATACTTTCAACCTTAGATTTGAAAAGCAATTCAAGTTTATATTTTGAAACAGAGGAAGTACCAATAAACATAAACATACCTTTCAAAAGAAAGGGAATCACAGTCCTCTAGAATTTTTTTTTTTTTTTTTTTTTTTGGGACGGAGTTTCGCCCGTTACCCAGGCTGGAGTGCAATGGCGCGATCTCGGCTCACCGCAACCTCCGCCCCCTGGGTTCAGGCAATTCTCCTGCCTCAGCCTCCTGAGTAGCTGGGACTACAGGCACGCGCCACCATGCCCAGCTAATTTTTTGTAGTTTTAGTAGAGACGGGGTTTCACCATGTTGACCAGGATGGTCTGGATCTCTTGACCTCGTGATCCACCCGCCTCGGCCTCCCAAAGTGCTGGGATTACAGGCTTGAGCCACCGCGCCCGGCCTAGAATTTTTAACTCTTATTATTGTAGTTATTATTATTTGAGATGGAGTTTCACTCTTGTTGCCTAGGCTGGGGTGCAATGGCACAATCTCGGCTCATTGCAACCTCTGCCTCCTGGGTTCAAGCAATCCTCCTGCCTCAGTCTCCCAAGTAGCTGGGACTACGGGTGCATGTCACCACGCCCGGCTAATTTTTGTATTTTAGTAGAGACGAGTTTCACCACGTTGGTCAGGCTGGTCTCAAAGTCCTGACCTCAGATGATCCGTCTGTCTCAGCCTCCCAAAGTGCTGAGATTACAGGCATGAGCCACTGCGCACAACTTCTTATTGTTTTTAATATAGAATGCTTCACGAATTCATGTGTCATCCTTGCACAGGGGCCATACTAATCTTCCCTGAATCATTCCAGTTTTAGTATATGTGCTGCCAGAGTAAGCACAAGTTTTTAACTTGTAACATATGAAAGATAAAGTTATTTTTATTGTAGGGAGGCTGGTTTACTTCATCATTCCGCCCTCTGCGGATGGACAAACTCACTTGTATACCTAAATATTTATTAGGCCACAATTATATAATTATTCACTATCACTGTAAGAAAATCATGAGGAAAGTGGTAAAAATGAGGGGTCCCTTCTAGCTTTCAGGGTCTTAAGAAGTAGCTGCAATTTCCAGAAGAGTCAGGCTCACTTCATTTTGATGACAATTTTCATATGGTTGATGTCCATAGGGCTGCAAGTATGCAGAGCCCACCTGCACAGGCATGGTCAAGCACTTCTCAAGGCATAATCCACCTAGGTTCAAGGCGGTCCTTTCTGATGATTTTTTTTTTTTTTTTTTTTTTTTTTTTTTTTTTGAGACGGAGTTTCGCTCTTGTTACCCAGGCTGGAGTGCAATGGCGCGATCTCGGCTCACCGCAACCTCCGCCTCCCGGGTTCAGGCAATTCTCCTGCCCCAGCCTCCTGAGTAGCTGGGATTACAGGCACGCGCCACCATGCCCAGCTAATTTTTTGTATTTTTAGTAGAGACGGGGTTTCACCATGTTGACCAGGATGGTCTTGATCTCTTGACCTCGTGATCCACCCGCCTCGGCCTCCCACAGTGCTGGGATTACAGGCTTGAGCCACCGCGCCCGGCCCCTGATGATTTCTTTTATATGGACTAGTCACCCTGCTGGGACAGATGTGCTGGGTGTGGAGTCCAGGGTTGGCATGACACACTCTACATAGGCAGAAAGGGGTCTTGGACAAAGATTGCAATTTGAGCTTCAGGTATTGGAGGAAATTGCTGGGAAAGAAGAGTTGAAACCGTACTGGGCTCAGCCCCACAGTCCTTTGACCTGTTCATTATGACAGCTAGAAGGGCCTTAGGCCATATGCAGTCTTTTTGGTTGGAAGTGACATCATCTACTAATAGTGTGAAGCCATGAGGCTAACTATATTCCTAGCTGTGATTCTGATTTTGTGATTCTGAACCATGTATACATGGTTGTTACAACAATGATTTCAAAACTTCAAGAGGTGATAACTTAATCTACTTCTCTAGGTTTAAGTTACACACATTTCCTAATTCTTCAGTCTATTAATAGAAGTCCACAGCTGTCAACCTGGTGGATAAGCTTTTATTAGATGTAATGACTTTTTCCTAACTTGAGATGTTGAATTTTATGGAAGCCTAAGAAATGTAATTTTAAAGACCTTGCAACTTGGTGGGAACTTGCATTCTTCATATTATTAAAACCATTTATCTCTCAAAAGATACTTAATGAAAGCAGGAACTCAAATAAATATTTGTATACCTGTGTTCATAGCAGCTTTATTTTACAATAGCCAAAAGGTAAAAGCAACACAAAAGTTCATCAATAGATTAATGGATAAACAAAATGTAGCAAAGACATACAATGAAATATTATTCAGCCTTGAAAAGGAAGGAATTCTGACACAGGCTGCAGCATGGATGGACCTTGAGGTTACCACACAAAGTGAAATAAGTCAATCACAAAAAGATAAATAACTGAATGGTTGGAAGTATTTTAGCTACCTGGAGCAGTAAAATTCATAGAGATAGGAAATAGAATGGTTGTTGCCAGGGGCTATAGAAAATTAGGAGTTAGTGCTGTGTTCTTATTTTGTTTTTTAAAATTTATTTAAGAGGCAGGGTCTTGCTCTGTTGCCCAGGCTGGAATGCAGTGGCATAATCATAGCTCACTGCAGCCTCAAACTCCCGGCCTCAAGCGATCCTCTAGCCTTCACCTCCCAAATAGCTGAGACTCTAGGCATGCCTGCCTAATTTTTTAATTTTTTTGGAAGGCAGCTATGTTCACCACTTACCACCAATGCTTTTAAAATTTTTTGTAGAAATGGAGTCACACTTCGTTGTCCAGGCTGGTCTTGAACTCCTGGACTTAATCGATCCGCCTCCCTCGGCCTCCCAAAATGCTGAGATTATAAGCATAAACCACCATGCCTGGCCATCCATACATCTTTATATGAAACCAAGTCTTGTTTTCTGACTTCTGGTGAGATCTCACTTTCCCAGCTGTAAAGCAGGAACTCCCTGATAGCAAAGCTTGTTCCCCCCACCTCAGAATTTGGGCACCCTGCAATTAATGCCTGTGTTTCCCCTCTCAGACTGTGATTTGAATACTGGGAACACTCAGAAAGTGCAGGACTATTTACCTCTCTTTTCTGGACTGCACTGGGACCTGTTTGTCAGGCTCTGCTTCACGCTGACCCAGTCGGGGCTGGGTAGTTCTCCAATCCCTCATGTCTTTGCTCAATCAGGAAGTCCTCCCTCCATCCCAGAGCAGGACCCGAAAGTTGGCCTTGAAAATGTAACTGGGCAGTTTAACTTCAAAATGCATTTTCAAACCTTTCTTTTCCTTTCTCGAGTCTCAAAACGTAGCCTCAAAACTTACTATGGAAACCTTTTTTTCCCTCTTCTTCTTATTCTTAAAATATAGCCTTGAAGTGTACTTTCTTTTTTTGTTTTGTTTTGTTTGTTTTGAGACAAGAGTCTTGCTGTGTCGCCTAGGCTGGAATACAGTGGCATGATCTCAACTCACTGCAACCTCTGCCTTGTGGATTCAAGCGATTCTTCTGCCTCGGCCTCCTGAATAGCTGGGATTACCGGCCTGCACCACCACACCCAGCTAATTTTTGTATTTTTAGTAGAGACAAGGTTTCACCATGTTGGCATGGCACCTGACCCAGAAACTTCAAGTAAACCTCCAGGGATGACTCCTTTAGCAGCTACTGGAATGGCTGGACCATGACCCATCCAGGGGCTACTCTTGAGACAGAGCAAGCCTGAAGATCCAGCAGCAAAACTCTGGAGAGTACCTCAAGATGGCCAGTCAACAAGCTGGGCAGTGTTAAGATGAAGCCAGCCCATGCTCTAGGTGTACTGGGACCCAAGTTAGCCACTGGAACAAGATACACAGACATTGTACTCAGCACAATTTGTGCATGCCTTCCATATCAAGTTTTCCCTTTTTAAGTCCCTGCCTTCAACACCAAAATCAAAGTGCTTGCTTTGGATAGGAATCCAGCCACTTCCCCGTTACTATTTTTGGTTAATAAAATCACTTTCTTTCTACCAGACCTTGTTCTTTTTTTTGAGACAGAGTTTTGCTCTTGTTACCCAGGCTGGAGTGCAGTGGCATGATCTCAGCTCACTTCAACCTCCACCTCCGCCTCTTGGGTTCAAGTGATTCTCCTGCCTCAGCCTCCCGAGTAGCTGGGATTACAGGCACCCACCACCATGTCCAACTAATTTTGTATTTTTAGTAGAGACAGGGTTTCTCCATGTTGGCCAGGCTGGTCTCGAACTCCTGACCTCAGGTGATCCGCCTGCCTCAGCCTCCCAAAGTGCTAGGATTACAGGTGTCAGCCACAGCGCCAGGCCTGCTTGATATTTTGGATAGGAGCTGCATGACTGCAAACTCATCCTATCAGAGGACAAAGCCTCTTCCCCGATCCCCTTTCAACTCACTCTAAAGCCCATAGTCAGTATCCTCCCGGGCCCATCTTTCTCTCTTTCCCTGAGCAAGCATTTCCAGCTATCCTAACCATGGTATTCAGGGCCTGAGCTTTGGCACAACTGCTCTGGAGGCGCACGATGGGTCCTGCCAACACACACTTGCACACAGTCAAACAGCCAAAAGGTGGGGAACAATTGCTGGGTTTGGATTTCAGCCCTGGGGCCGCTGGCTCCACCTCCTGCGCTGAGGTAGGGGTGGGATGGGGAAGGAAGCAATCAGAGGGAGAGAACATTGTTTCAGGACCCAAAGGCCCCTGCCTGGCAGAAGGCCTCTCAAAGTCCGGACTACTTGGATGCGCTCGACTCCTTCCCAGCACTGACTCTGCCTATACCCTGGGGCCCCCACTTGTTGGGCTGACCATAACTGGCTTGGAGAGGCAATGACAGGCCAGAACAAGCAGGGACAGAATTATCCCTTACCTGGTGAGGACAAAGGCCAGCTCTGCATGCCCCTGAGTCTCCACGAAGTCTAGGGCCCACTGGTGCCTCTGCGCCCGCTGTTTATTGGGAGCGTGTGGGGTAAGTGACTATGTCTGCCCTGCTGGGCTGTAGGTTGCCTGAGGTCAGGGCCTAGCACTTTTTTTTCATTTGTATTAATTCAGTCACTCATTCAACTCATATTTATTGAATGTTTGGCACTGAGTTGGAATGTGGGTGGGTCGATGGATGTGTGAATGAAGAGTGACGGCCCTTGTTCCCTGTTCTCTGGCCTCTGCACTCACATTTGGTAATGCACAAAACTCTCTGTGTGAAAAGGAGGCTAAGGAAAGAAGAGGGAAACCTGAGAATCCACTCTCGGGGTGAAGGGTGGGGAGGCCAAGAGAGATAAATCCTCATAAGTGGGGGCCCTGGAGGAGGGGTTTATTGATAAGACCTCAGAAAAATGCTCAGGAAAGTAGGGAATCCTGAGGGTTGGGGTACTGGCGTGTTCTGAGCCAGCATAGCTACTATTCAAGTCTGGTGTGAAAGCCAGAAATGAGCCTCACATGTCTAGTGACCACCCAGAAAAGGAAGACCCTAGAAGACAGGCTTAGGAGAATCCTAAAGTCATGAGGCTGCCAGTTCAACCTGTTCCAAAATCCTCCAAGGAATAGCTACTAGGTTGCATGCTAGGAAGCAGAAATTAAAGCCAAGAGGTGAAGAGCGTCAGCCAGGGGCCCTCACTAGGTCTACCAGTCACCTTTCCCAAGGGCAGGACAGTGATAAGAGCAGGGTCCCTGAAGCAGACTGCCTGGCTTCATCTCCCAGCTCTGTCACCTAACTAACTGTATGAACACAGGCAGATAACAGGAACTGTCTGTGCCTGTCTTCCCATCTCTAAATGGGGGTTAAGCATAGCACCTACCTCACAGAATTCTCGTGAGGGTGAAAAGAATTCATGGACGTGAGTGGTTAGACTGGTGCCTAGTGTATCGAATGTCTTTCTGTTTTACCAGTGAGGTCTTGGAGGGTCAGAGAGGTTAGCTGTCTCCTGAAGGCCAGCCAGCTGCAGACGATAGAGCTGGAATTTAAAGTGACTTCTAGTACTCTTGCCTTGACATCACACAGCCTGAGGAGTTACGGGAGTGACCCCAGGCTGCTGAGCTGAGGAGTGAGTTGATAAGAATGGCACAGTAGGAATGTTTCGCCTCTAGGCACACTGTGGAATGAGTGCTTGAGGGAAACAGATAGGCCTGAAGGCCGGGAGACCAGGTAGGAAATGCTTGTCATGGGTCTGGTGTGGTGAGGGGGATGCTGACAAGGACTGAGGCGGTGGGACAGAAGGGACACAGGGCCATGGGAGAAAGAGAACTGGACAATATTTGGTAGCCAGCTGGAATAAAATGGAGTTAAAGGAGGCTTTAAGGTTTTGTTTGTTTGTTTGTTTGAGACAGAGTTTTGCTCTTGTTGCGCAGGCTGGAGTGCAATGTCACAATTTTGGCTTGCTGCAACCTCTTCCTCCTGCACTCAAGTGATTCTCCTGCCTCAGCCTCCTGAGTAGCTAGGATTACAGGCATGTGCCACCACGCCTGGCTAATTTTGTATTTTTAGTAGAGATGGGGTTTCTCCTTGTTGGTCAGGCTGGTCTCGACCTCCTGACCTCAGGTGATCTGCCGGCCTCTACCTCCCAAAGTGCTGGGATTATAGGCATGAGCTACCACGCCTGGCCAAGGAGACTGTAATGTTGTAAGCTCTAGTTACCCAAAGAACAGTGGGGTTTCTGCCAAAAACAAGTGATTGGTGGGGGATTGTGTTAGTCCGTTTTCACTCTGCTGAGAAAGCCATACCGGAGACTGGGTAATTATAAAGGAAAGAGGTTTAATGGACTCACAGTTCCACATGGCTGGAGAGGCCTTCCACATGGCGGAAAGCAAGGAGGAACAAGTCACATCCTACATGGCAGCAGAGAAGAGACAGAATAAGGACCAAGCAAAAGGGGTTTCCCCTTATAAAACCAACAGATCTCGTGAGACTTAATTACTCCCACGAGAATGGTATGGGGGAATTCGCCCCTATGATTCAATTATCTCCCACCAGGTGCCTCCCACAACACATGGGAATTATGGGAGCTATAATTCAAGTTGGGATTTGGGTGGGGACATAGCCAAACCATATCAGGGATGTTCTTAGAAACCCAAGCAGTGAGACAAGCCCTCTTTACTGGGTGATTTTTAAATGGGGGAAGGGGATGTGCGAATTTCACAGAGACAGAAGCCTGGACTAAAGGATGCCTTTTATGTAAAGGGGCTAATAGTGGCTAGATTCCTGAAGACACCAGGACAGAAAGAATTGCTCAAAGGCAAGCCCCAGCACAGCCCAGCTCAGCCTCCCGGCATTGCTTCTGTTGCCAATCCCCTTTCCTGCTCCACTGTAGGAAACTGACTTTACCAGGGATCCCACAGTGCCTCTGCAACCTCTCACCTCAGCCCCGACTCTCTAACCTCCTGTACACATACCTCACTTTTACACACGCTCTCATTCTACCCCTCACAGCAACCGTGTTAGAGAGTGGGGCTGGTGCTCTTCTCATTTTACAAGTGGGGAAACCGAGGCCTGAGAAGTTTATGAAACTTTTTCAGAATCACACAACCAATGCCAATCAGTGACCAGATTGCAAATTCTATGCACCTCACTTCATTACACCATGCCTCCATTTCCAGAGATCTCAAGCAGATTGGAGCCAGAGGCACACACCTCCTTTTCCTCAGCAGATCCATAGACATCCCTTGGTTTCCAAGAGCATTCATTTTCCTTCTGGGAGTAATGGAATGGTAGCGGAAGGGAATGGAATGGAATGGAGGCAGTGAAAATGGACAGCGAGGGATGTGGCAACATTATGGATAAGCACCAAACATCAGAGCTGAAAACATCCTTAGAGACCGTTGAGTTAACTCCCTCTGTTTGCAAGGGAAACAGGCCCAGAAAGAAGGGACTTGCCCCACAGTTCACTGCGAAGCTTATGCCACTGTCTTTATTCTAGTTATCTATGACTATGTATAAAAAATCACCTCAAAGCCCCATGGCTTGAGATATTTTATTAACTGTCTGATTTCTGTGGGTCAGGGACGCAATCAGGATTCAGCTGGGTGGTTCTGACTTTGTGTCTCATGTGGCTGCAGGTGAACAGGCAGGGGCTGGAGCAGCTCAGGACTGTCTGGGCATCTCTCTTCATTTACGTTCTCTCCAGACCTCTCCTTGTGGGAGCCTCTCCAGTGGGGCTAGCTTGGGCTTCCTCACAACTTGGTGACTTCAGGGCAATCAGACTTATCACTGGTATCTCCAAGACAAGTGTCCCAAGACAATAAGGAGAAAGCTGTATCATCTTTTGTCATCTAACCTCAAAAGTCATATAACATCACTTCTACCATAGTTACAAGGCTGCCTAAAGTCAAGGAAAGGAAAATAGACTCTACCTCTCAATGGGAGGAGTGTCAAAGTCACACATTTTAAGGGAAACATGTGAGATCGGAGGTCTTATGGTAGCTATCTTTGGAAAATGCAGCCTGCACAATTACCTAGATCAATAGCATGGCCCGGGGAAAAGACAGGCCTGTGTTTGAACCCTGGATTCATCACTCACTAGCTTTATGACTCTAGGGAAGTCACCTAACCCCTGGTATCTTCTCCTACCCCATCTATAAAACTAAAATAATGAGGCCAGGCGCAGTGGCACACGCCTATAATCCCAGCACTTTGGGAGGCCAAGGCGGGCGGATCACCTGAGGTCAGGAGTTCCAGACCAGCCTGGCCAACATTGTGTGAAAACCTGTCTCTACTAAAAATACAAAAATTAGTCGGGCATGGTGGCACATGCCTGTAATCCCAGCGACTCAGGAGGCTGAGGCAGGGGAATTGCTGGAATCTGGGAGATGGAAATTGCAGTAAGCTGAGATTGTGCCACTATACTCCAGCCTGGACAACAGAGTAAGACTCAGTCACAAACAAATAAACAAACAAATAAACAAAACCACTAGAATAATAATAATGCCTGTCTGGCAAGGTTGTGGTGAAAATGAAATTCAAGAGCCTGGCTGTTTATTAATTAAAGTAGTATAAGGGATGGTGTGTTCACTGCTTATTTATTTATTTATTTTTGACGAAGTCTTTCTCTGTTGCCCAAGCAATAGCATTTTGGGAAGCCGAGGTGGGTGGATCACGAGGTCAGGAGTTCAAGACCAGCCTGGCCAATATGGTGAAACCCTATCTCTACTAAAAATACAAAAATTAGCTGGGTATGATGATGGGTGCCTGTAGTCCCAGCTACTTGGGAGGCTGAGGCAGGAGAATCACTCGAATCCAGGAGGCGGAGGTTGCAGTGAGCTGAGTTCGCACCACTGCACTCCATCCTGGGCAACAGAGAAAGACTCCATCTAAAAAAAAAAAAAAAAGAACAAGCTAAATTCTAGACTTTATTCAGGCTTTGCCAGTTTTTCCACTATTGATGTTTTTCTGTTTCAGAATCCAGTTTGGGATAATATATCACACTTAGCTGCCTTCCTTAACATTCCTTCCATCATGATCACCCTGTCTGCTGCATAATGGAAGACCAGTTAAGAGGCCATTGCAGAGCCATGCGTGGTGGCTCATGCCTGTAAGCCCAGCACTTTGGGAGGCGGAGGCAGAGGCGGGCGGATGATGAGGTCGGGAGTTCGAGACCAGCCTGGTCAACATGGTGAAACCCTGTCTCTACTAAAAAATACAAAAACTAGCTGGGCGTGGTGACACATGCCTATAATCCCAGCTTCCTGGGAGACTGAGGCAGGAGAATCGCTTGAACCCGGGAGGCAGAGGTTGCAGTGAGCCGAGATCACGCCATTGCACTCCAGCCTCGGTGACAGAGCGAGACTCCAACTCGGGGAAAAAAAGAAGAAGAAGCCATTGCAGTAGTCCAGGCAAAAGATAATGGGGTATTGAACTAGGGTGTTGGAAGTCACATGGTAAAAAGTGGTCAGATTCTGGATGAATTTGAAGGCAGAGGCAATGGAATTTATAGGATATGGATTGTAGGGGAAAGAAGAGAGTCAAGCATGACCCCAAGATTTGGGGCTAAACAACTAGACAGATGGAATAGCCATTGGTTAGAATAGGTACAGCTGGAACACTATTTGGGCTGGAGATCAGGAGTTTGCAGCAGTCAGACAAATGAGTCTGGTACTACCAAATTTATTTTTAATTAATGAATTTATTTATTTATTTTCATAAGGACAGGGTCTTATTATGTTGCTCAGGCCTGAGTAACATAACTGAGGTCTCAAACTGCTGGGCTCAAGTGATCCTCCCACCTCAGCCTCCCAAAGTGCTGAGCTTACAGGCGTGAGCCACCATGCCCAGCCAGACACACGAGTCTGCATTTCAGGGAGAAAGCTTGGCTGGAAATACAAATGTGGGAGTCATTAAACTTATAGCTAGCATTCCAAGAAATTAAGCTGGATTAGATCATAAAAGGAATGAGTGAAAACAGAAAAGACAAGAGGTCCGAGGATGGAGCCCTGGGGCTGAGGAAGATGTTGGGAAGAGGAGGAGGAAGCAGAGGAGACCGAGAAGTGGTGGCCATTGCATTAGGTGAAGAAGCAAGTGAGTGATCCCAGAAACCCAGTGGCAAATGCAGATAACAGAGCCTTTGAGAGGAGGACTGAGAATTAATCACTGGATTTGGCAGTGGTGAGGGCAATGGTGATCTTTAGAGTGGTGATTCTGGAATGGTGGGGTGAGAGTGGGTTCAAGAGAGAATGAGAGGAGAGGAGGTGAGGGCAAGGAAGGTTTTCAGTAAAGAAGAGCAGACAAGGGCCGGGCGCGGTGGCTCAAGCCTGTAATCCCAGCACTTTGGGAGGCCGAGGCGGGTGGATCACGAGGTCAAGAGATCGAGACCATCCTGGTCAACACGGTGAAACCCCGTCTCTACTAAAAATACAAAAAATTAGCTGGGCATGGTGGCGCGTGCCTGTAATCCCAGCTACTCAGGAGGCTGAGGCAGGAGAATTGCCTGAACCCAGGAGGCGGAGGCTGCGGTGAGCCGGGATCGCGCCATTGCACTCCAGCCTGGGTAACAAGAGCGAAACTCCGTCCCAAAAATAATTACATTTGCTATTGTGAGGCCTTGAAAAAGAAGAAGAGCAGACAAATGTAGCCAGAAGAGACCAGAGGGTTGAGGGAGGTGATTTACTTTTTTATTTAAGATCTGAGAGAGGTTGATGACAATGATCCCATAGAGGCAGGCAAACTGATGATGCAGAAGAGATGGAGAGGATTGGAGAGCCCTGGAGTTACCCAGGTGAGAGAGAATGTTAACTAGTGCCCAGGTGAAGGAGCTCACCTAGGTAAGAACACAGGCAGTTCATGTACAGAAACAGGAGGGATGACGGAGCACATGCAGACAGGTGCAGGTAGGTGGTGGAGGCGTGTGGAAATTCTTTCAGATTGCTTCTATTTTCTTCAGGAAGTTGAGAGCAAGACCATCAACAGAGAGAGCAGAGAGGAGGAGGGGGTGGAGGTTGGAGGAGAGAGGAGAATAAAATAGTTTTCAGGGTGGGTGGAAGACTGCACAGAACTAAGGAAATCCAAGAGCACTGGTGATCAACACAAACAGCATTTGAGGGTCATGAATTTAAATGAGACTAGCCAGTTTGGTGGTATTTTTTTTTAGCTGTTTGGGTGAAGGCTGAAGAAGTCACAGCAGTGGATTTTTGCCACATGAATATGATGGAAGGAAAGGGGGCCAGGGAGTTAAGCGTGAATGCAATGGACTAATTATAATGAGGCATGGAAAAAAGAAAAGCTGAGGAAGCGGAAGGGTGGATGAGATGGGGATAGGGGATGGTGAAAGGAGGTTGATTCTACCTCCTTTTCATGAAAGACAAGGCTGGGTGAGGTGGCTCATGCCTATAATCCCAGCACTTTGGGAGGCCGAGGCAGGTGGATCACCTGAGGTCAGGAGTTCGAGACCAGCCTGGCCAACATGGTGAAATTCTGTCTCTACTAAAAATACAAAAAATTAGCTGGACATGGTGTCGCGTGCCTGTAATCCCAACTACTCAGGAGGCTGAGGCAGAAGAATCACTTGAACCCGGGAGATGTAGATTGCAGTGAGCTGAGATCACGCCACTGAGATTACTCTGGCCTGGGCAACACAATGAGACTCTGTCTCAAAAAAAAAAAAAAGAAAGAAAGACAAGGCTGACTTATTCACAGTAGGTACAGTGCCTAAGTCCCATAATACTTTTAAGGATCCACAAAATGTTTTTATTTTGAATTTATTTTTAAAAATCAGAAGGAAAAATGAATACAATAAAAATGTGTATAATAATGAATTCAACCTGGATTATATTAGTCTTTATACTAATGTAGTTATACAATGTAATATTTAATATTCTTATGTGGAGGAAGGGGTCCACTAAGGTGAAATGGCTAGGACCCATGAAAGCCATAATGTGGTTTTTGTGAGAGATTCCAGTGGGTTAGTAGACTTGTTTGAGCCAAGGTGCTAGAGGTCATGGGCTGGAAAGCTAGCAGTTGGTAATAGGAAAGTATGATACTTAAAATAGAGATGATGGAGTGTGTGAAGCTATTGGTAGCAACAAGGTTTAGGGTGGGATCATCTTTCTCATTGGAGGGGAAGAAATCAAGGAAATGAGATGCTGGTTTTATCACATATCTATTGCTATATTAACAAACCATCTCAAAGTTTAGTGGCTTAAAACAATGACCATTTATCTGCTAAAGGCTTGGCAATATGGGCTGGGTTCTGCTGAGCAGTTCTTCTGTTGGTCTTGCCCAGGTTCACTCATGGGGCTGCAGTCATCTGGAAGCTTGACTGGGGCCAGGTAATCCAATATGACTGCACGTCCGATGTTGTTGGGCAGGGTACCTCAGATCACCTCCATTGGACTTTTCATTTTCCAGCAGGAGGCTAGATGGACTTCTTGACCTGATGTTGCAAAGTGGCAAGGTGCAAGTCTCCTGAGACCTAGAATCTAGGAACTCACACACATTTCTACCCCATTCTATCAGCTAAAGCCAGTCATAAGGCCAACCCACATGCAAGCAAGAGGTTGAGAAATAGATTCCACCTCTTGCTGGGAAAAGCAGCAAAATAATTGCAAAGTGTCTTGTGGAACAGGAAGAAGAAGAGTGGCCATCTTTGCAATCTATCATACTTATTGGAAGAACTGTTTACGTCATATTGAATCATCAAGTATCACCAAGAATTTGACAGAAGTGGGAGTGAAGGGATTGACAAGCCAGGTGCTAAAATCTTCAAAGCACGAGGAGGCACTGAGTGATATCCTCCAATGCCAACAACTTCAAATGCTTCAAATACCTTTATTGTTTCATGAGTGAATTTCCATACATTTCATCAGTTAAAAGGAATTTATTTTTCATGACTTCTTTGACTCAGTCACTTGTCAGTTCAGACTTGATCCTAAGGAAGGAGCCTAAAACATAGGGGAAAAAACCTACCTTCATAAAAATGTGTGGCACTGGCCAGGCATGATGGCTCATACCTGTAATCCCAGCACTTTGGGAGGCTGAGGTGGGCGGATCACCTGGATCACCTGAGGTTAGGAATTCAAGACCAACCTGGCTAACATGGTGAAACTTGTTTCTACTGAAAATAAAAAAAATTAGCCAGGTGTGGTGGCACACACCTGTAATCCCAGCTACTCAGGAGGCTGAGGCAGGAGAATCACTTGAACCTGGGAGGTGGAGGTTGAGGTGAGCTGAGATTGCACCATTGCACTCTATCTTGAGCAACAAGAGCAAAACTCTGTCTCAAACAATAAATAAATAAATATATGTGGCACTAATATTTATCTGGGGGCTGTATCCTCAGTGCCTCTGGTATCTAATGGTAGCATATGAGTACTCAAGATTTTTTAAATGAATTTATAATTAGAAAAAAGTAAACAACCGAAACAGCCAATAATCAGCCAAATATAGTATATCTATTTACTATTGATAGAATATCACACAGCCATCAAAAATTATGCTTTTGAGAACTATCAATATATGATATGGAGTAAAAAAAGCAGGATACCACATTGTGGACACATTATGATGATGCCTGTGTAAAACTATCTGGTTGGAAAAAAGGAATCAAAACAACAATAGTGGTTTTCTCAAGCTAGTAGAATTGTGGGTGTTTTTTTTTTCTTTTTTTTTTTTTGAGACGGAGTTTTGCTCTGGTTACCCAGGCTGGAGTGCAATGGCGCGATCCCGGCTCACCGCAGCCTCCGCCTCCTGGGTTCAGGCAATTCTCCTGCCTCAGCCTCCTGAGTAGCTGGGATTACAGGCACGCGCCACCATGCCCAGCTCATTTTTTGTAGTTTTAGTAGAGACGGGGTTTCACCATGTTGACCAGTATGGTCTCGATCTCTTGACCTCGTGATCCACCCGCCTCGGCCTCCCACAGTGCTGGGATTACAGGCGTG